GTCTTTAGAGCTGGACATCGAATCAGGTGGGTCTTCTCCATTTCCTCCTGTAGGTTACATAGAAGGCATGTGGGTTGAGTGTATACTCCCAATCTGTGAAGATATTTTGCCAAGCAATCGTGTCCGGTACGTAGTCCAAACTCAGCAACGTCTTCGATTCTTGGCCAGTCGGCTATGTCGGAGAGTGCCACTGTCCACTGTTTCTCCTTTGTTCGAGCTTTGAGTTCGTTGCACCTTGAGGTCTTGAATTCTCTTCTGATTAAGGCCTTCATTGTGTGGAAAGACATCGGGCGGTCCATGCATTGCAAAATCGTCCTCTAAACATCAATTGGTACTTACTATGAATAAGCCAAGTGGACAATATTGAGTACAATATTGTATGCAATTGCAGTAATCACGTGATTATTGTTCTAATACGAAATAATGAACGAAATCAATGTCATTTAGTTTATTGCTAAAAAACATAATGGGACAAAGGAACTACAATACATTATCGTAAATAAAAAATCGTTTGGGAAGTTTTAGAGTGAGAAATTGGGGTGTGCGATAGACTTACCTCCAATTTTCTGCATCCTGGGCAACGCATACTCATATGGCAAAAAAGTTTATTAACTGGCAGTTGACTTCTGACTTCAAACTACCATGACCCCACTGTATGTCGTATTCGACCCCTACAACGGTCTCACCTCACCTTTTTTCTTCCTTTGTGTCTGTCTCTTTTACATCTGACATTTTGCCACTATGATATTCCTCCTCCTCTCTGTAAAGCCCAAAGTCAGCTAAAGGGCTAATGATAATTATCAAAGCGCCTGAATAAAGAGTGAGATTCTTTTTAGGCAATTCTTAATATACCACTATTTGGAACATCGTGGAAGGGCAATATGCACTACTGAAATCAAACTGATTATTCTTAACCAAATGAAAGCTATTATAACGCCTATATAGAAAGGTATTATTGCTATAGAAGGATTATTGAAAGAATATTTATTTGGAAGATTCGGAATCAGCACTAAGCTAACAAACGGAGATACTGGTTGGACAGGAAGTGCGTTATGAAAGAAGCCCTGATTAAACCTCAATAATCCTCCTTGGTATAAACTCCAAGTCAAAAAATAGGGGGACAAAATTAGCAAAGCTACCTTCAAAGTGGAGGGAAAGAACTTACAACGCAAAGACTTGATAATGGAGGAAATCGATAGGCTGTCTGGCCCTTCAAAATAGGCAACGACTTTGATTAAACACAGGTCCTATTTCTGTAAAGAATTTCCCAACAATTTATATGTTGAAAGATCGCGCTGACGCACTTGCTAAGAAGGGGACAACAATTTTGCAAGGCATAGACCGGCCGATGTCTTTCCACACAATGAAGACCTTAGAGAGAATTCCAGACCTCAAGGTTCAACGAACTCAAAGCTCAAACAAGGGAGAAGTCAAGGTGCAACGAACTTAAAGCTCGAACAAAGGAGACGTGGACAGGTTCAACGAACTCAAAGCTCGAACAAAGGAGAAACAGTCACTCTCCGACATAGCCGACTGGAAGAGAATTCAAGACCTCAAGGTGCAACGAACTCAAAGCTCGAACAAGGGAGAAATAGTGGACAGTGGCACTCTCCGAAATAGCCGACTGGCTAAGAATCGAAGGCCGACTGGCCAAGAATCGAAGCTGTTGCTGAGTTTAGACAAAGTACTGGACATGATTAACTGGCGAAGCACCTTCACAGAATAGGAGTATATACCCAGCCAACATGCCCCCTATGTGACCTACAGGAGAAAATGGAGAAGACCCACCTGATTCGGTGTCCAGTCCTAAAGACAACAACAGAAACCCAGAGATACTGGGAAGCCATAAGTCTACTAATGAACTACTATTGACTGTTCCAAAGCCTAAATATACGTTCCTCCCCCCCTTCTGACACTTAATAAAATGTGCTATTAAGTAGGTCCTTTCAAAATCATATTTATCAGAAGATATTTATAATCGACTTAATCAATCAGTCAGCCAAATCAGTAGGCTATCTTATAAAGCCTGGACCCCACGAATAAAAATTCCCACAGGTAAAAGAGGATTAGTGCCGAGCGTTTATTAATGGGAAATTAGAACATGAATTAGTGAACTTTGTCAGTGTACATTCTAAAACCAATGGTAAAATATGACCCGAATCTTGTGATATACTAGCTATTTACGTTCCTCATACTCAAATTTGACTTTTATTTTTTTTCGGTGTTCAGACACTTTCACAAATTGACGATTAGCGATATTTTGTCCCGGTATTGGTAATAAGTGGGTGATTATTTTGAGTATATAGACACAACCAACTTATTGGGATTAATTAGAGATTTATAAAATGGGTGTCGGAGGTCAACTTGCTTGAGCAGACACAAAATAGATTTTTCAATGTCTCCAAATTAATACTATTATTTGAAAATTAATGAATTTTTGAACCACATTCATGTTTTTAGTTATATTGTTTCACCTCCTCTTCAATAAATATTCACTAATTCACTTGAATTACAAGATAGACTTACCTCCACGTGGTGCACCCTGGGCAACGTTTCAATAGACTTACCTCCACGTGGTGCACCCTGGGCAACGTATAATCATACGGCCATACGGCAAAAAAAGTCTATTAACTGGCAGTTGACTTCTTAAAAAAGTCTATTATTCGGCAGTTGACTTCTGACTTCAAAGCGGCAAAAAAGTCTATAAACCGGCAGTTGACTTCTCACTATCGGCAAAAAGGTCTATTAACAGGCAGTTGACTTCTGACTTCAAACAACCATGATCCCACTGTATATCATGTTCGACCACTTTCACAGTACTCATCTTACCTTTTTCACTACCTTTGTGTCTGTCTGCCTCTTTTACATCTGTGAAGCGCTCTTCTGTTCCCTACCCCTCGACTTTCTTCTACTTTGATGAACCTTCCCTTTGTGAAGCCCGAAGTTAAATAACTGGCTAATGATAGATATCAAAACGTCTGCCATTTGAAATAAATAAAATAATTAATTTATTTACCTTCTACAACTTTCAGAGAGCCCGGGTAGGACATTCAGTAGTTGATTTTGACTTAATTATTGTGGTCAAGCTCTGGTCAGATTGGCAGGTGTGCATTCAGTGGAATTGGAAAATTGATATGCTACAGTTTGGCTTTGATCTGACAAGAGTGAAATATAGTAAGTGCATATTATCTTACACAATCGAATTGATTATATAAAAGTGTCTAAATTAGCACTTTGTTCGAAAGTAATTTTTTGATACAATTAGTGCGCTCCTAGCCTTTGCTTTGGAGTAGTTAATTTATGGTGTTGATCTGTTTGCCGCAATGGTATGATCTGTTAAATTTATATTTGTAGTTTAAGCTACATCTCAAGATAATTCCTATACAAGGTGCGATAAAATCCCCTGGGAAATGTAATAATGAAAACCGACAATATGCTTGAGTGCTATTGCAATAATTTATGATGAATCTATGACATTCAATTCGTGTGGTGTTTCAATTCCAATTCTACAATTGGTTTGGCGATTGGCAAGCCCATAATTCAAACGATTGCACGTATTGTGCTTTAGATTGTTGTGCTATAGTGGGAGATTCAAATTTCGCCCCATCTTACTAAAAAAACTATTAACAGATTACACATAATCTGTTGCGCTACCTTAGTGGGTGTGAGGATTTCTACTGCACATAACGCTATAAAATTCTAGTTTGCGATCTATAATTTGGTGATCTATAATTCTTGTAAATGTATTCTTACTTGCGGAAATTCGATCCTATCCGAGATGGACAATTTAGGATCCAAATAGCGGATATGTCAGCCGAAATGCAACAAGAAGCGCTGAATTCAGCCAATTATGGAATGTGTCATTTTGCCGTTGAGAAAGATATTGCTGCCCATATAAAGAAGGACTTCGACAAGAGGTTCGGAACTTCGTGGCATTGCGTTGTGGGAAAAAATTTTGGAAGGTTCGTCTTTCCCTTTAAACTTTAATAATAATCTTACAGCAGCCGTAAATCCCTTCTTTTATAACATCACCTTTCAGCTACGTAACTCATGTTCCACGAAACTTCATTTGCTTCCGCATAGGGCCCTTGGGCGTCCTACTCTACAAATGCTAATAATAAAATAAAATATATATTAAATTTAAAATGTGTTATAATTAAAGCGGGAAGCATATGCGGCCAAACGCCTGGGTTAAATAGTCTGCGTCATTAAATTTGTACATCGTTTTGTCCTAATTAATTGAAATTTGCTATTGACTGCGTTAATTACAACGGAATAATTGCATATTGGATTAGGCATAGCAGGAAACAATATCACATATGCCCATAGCATAACATTTAAAAGTATTACCAACGTGAACTTGCAATCGAATACCGCTTAAGGAGTGTAGATAGAATTCTTATCGAGAAATAACGAAACCTACCACATTGCAATTGAATAAGGCACAGGCCACCAGTCATAGAACAGCAATAAGAAGGAAGGTTGCAAACTACGTGGAGTTATCGCTTTAATGCGAAGTGATGGAGAGATAGAAGGAAAGATGACGAAACAGCGTTTCTGGTAAGCACAAAGCGATTAAGAAGTGGAGAGGGACGGTAACCTCCCATCGATTTCTTTGGATCTGGTAATCGATAAAATTTAGAGAATCATTTATTTATTTCAAATGGCAGGCGTTTTGATAGTCGTCATTAGCCCTGTAGTTGACTTCAGGCTTCACAGAGGGGAGGGAACATCAGAGTGAAAATGTAGAGAGTGGGGAAGAGAAGAGGGATTCATAGATGTAAAAGAGACAGACAGACACAAAGGTAAAGAAAAAGGTGAGGTGAGTACTGTGGTAGAGGTCGAATATGACACAGGTGGGGGTGATGGTAGTTTGAAGTGAGAAGTCAACTGCCGGTTTATAGACTTTTTCGCCGTATGACTATACGTTGCCCAGGGTACACCACGTGGAGTAAGTCTATCGCACACCGCGACCGGAAATTGAAACCGGATCTTCCATATGACAGGCGGAGATACTTACCACTATGCTATCGCGGAGAACTTTTAGAGAATCATATATTTTTATACTCTAGGGACGATCAATAATTTCTTGGAAAACAACTTTATGTAGACACGTTAAGCGTATACGCATCAGTTGGCTCAATAACTCATATGATAACCCACAAATTATTTTTTAACTTGTTTTACTCATTGATAAATCGTTTTTATCTTTAAAACAACCGACTTAAGGGGTCAGCAGAAGCCTCATAGCCTTCTCTCGAATTCTAAATGTCAGAATGCATAAACCAAGCACCAACTATCAATTTTAATATTCTGTGCATATTTTTACTTCACTCCTTAATGTTCTCCTCGTTTAGATGAGGGGATTGCAAAATGCCGCCAAAACTGAGCAAAGAAATATCATATGCAGTCGAATGGTTAGGATAGTGAGGTAGTAGTACTGGTCGCACTGACAGTAGGTACGCTCGTGCGTATGGAGGCATTTCAGCCGACTACCAGCCAATAGACGGTTCACTGCCGGCGTACTTGTAATTTGATGGATAAAGTGTGTGCCAGTGGCCCATGAGCTGTGGTAGACACCACTCATTCGGTATATCCTCTCTCCTCGATACTGCTGAGTCGGTTTAGGTGATTTTAGAAGCCATTTAACCTTAGAGGGCTTTACCAGAGAAAATTTTTGGGATTTGGCTCTGTCTAAAATGAATTATCATTATTGCTGAAATGATAGCTGGATTCGGAGCGAAATTGGTGCCACATTCACTGGTAATCCACCGGTTAAGGAATATTCCTTGAGGGTATGTCTTATTTTGCGTTATGTGATTGAAATGTTTGATCACACTTGGAATCTGGGTGACTCGAGTGGCGTTAACTGTTGTAATAAAATCCAAATTAAGAAAAGTATCGAGAATTATTCTAATGAAGAACCTACTTTGTTTATATTTTTAACAATATCAGAAATCTGATCTATCCTATAATTACTTAACCAATGGAAGTGGATAATTTTACTAAAGCAATTCAAGCATGTTTACAACCTATGGAAAGTGTTTACAAGCGAGTTATTCTACAAATAATCTCCCTCCAATATAAATCTCTACGGGGATCTAGAGTGGCTAGAGTTAGTGTAACTGCAGGCCAATTCCGGATCATTTTCGCTGTACTCGTTTACCCATATCCCATACGTAATAGCGTTCTCCAAAGATTTGCCTCTTTACAATGAGCTACAAATCATACCAAGCTTCACAACTTCGTATATCTACCTATATCACCATCTCCCTCTTGTGATATATAATCCTTTCACACAAAAAAAACTAAATTTCCACCTCCTTCGCCTATCCATTTTGTTGCTAAACCTACCAAGCTAAAATATTCTCCAGAAACCAGATTGCTAAGCTGCCACTTTCTTGACTATGATCTTGCAAGACAGTGGGTAAACATTCTTTTGTGGTACCTAAGGTCATTGGTTAAAACGGAAAAAACAAAACTTAGCCATAATTTTAGAAACACAGTGATTTCTCGTGCAGACATCCTTAATAGTATCATAGCAAACATGCCATTCTCTCCATCCAACCAAAGAAATCGTAATGAGATTAGTACCCACTCATTATTGATAAGGATTAAATTACTCATTTCCCCCATGAAATAATTAAACTATTAGTGCCTCTAATACTTGCTTATTTTGAGGCCAGCTTACTGCAACAGCGTGGGAAAGTGTTACCTATAAATGTAGTGAGAAGAACAGCACAAATAAATTCAGAATGTTTGGTAGACACTATGCCACAGTGAGTGATCACAAAGCTATCATTAAGACCGCCGATATGACGGATAGGATGCAGCAAACAGCTGTAGACACTGCTTCAGACGCCATGAGTCGACATGATATTGAAAAGGACATCGCTGCCTACCTCAAAAAAGAATTCGACCAACTTTATGGACCAACATGGCACTGCATTGTTGGTCGAAACTTTGGCAGGTTAGTAGATTAAAAATTTCACTCCAAAGCCTTATTAAAATAATAGGCAGTATGACTGAAAAACTCTTCTTTTTTTAATTTTGCAGCTATGTTACACACGAAGCAAAACATTTTATCTACTTCTACATGGGAACCCTAGCTATAATTCTTTTCAAATCCGGTTAATATTCGTGTTCCATTTTTGATGGCAAACGATGTCTGTAATTTGAATAAATAAAGTAATAAAATGTAACTTGGAACGGTTTTAATACACGTTGTCACAATAAACATGCCTACTTATTTTTTTCAGTAAATTGAATTTTAGCAGTCAATTATCAGTCCACGAAAACCAGCATTCAATGTATTGACAGTAGAGCATTGGACCAAGTGAAATTCAAGAGTTTGCCTTCAATCGGAGAAAGTCCAGCTAGAGGCTTATGGAATTTATTATAGTACTCCCTCCCAATATAAGGGTAAGTGGATAAAGTTTTGAGATATAAAAATGGTATTTTATTGAAAATAGCAAGAATTGAACACTAAATCAGAGAAAGAGATTGTCGATTTTCTCAATTATTTCAAGTTGCCGACGGTGAGCATGCAAAGAGGCATGATGAAGAAGGAGACGAGAAGCTTCGGTGAATTTGGACAACACATCCTCACGATTAGCAGTCCAGGCAACGGAAGTCTGCACGGCTCGTGATAACTCGGAAATCTGCTGACTGAGTAGATCAAGACCCTTCTTTTGTTGTTCCAAGCAAGTTTTAATCTTTAGCAAAGAACAGATAACACGAATATTTTATCTGATGGAACTTTAATAAAAAAGTGATAAAATCAGTTCGCAATTAAGAAATGATGTTACTGAAACGTTATGAGCAACGATCCAACATGATCACCAGCAAAATTAGGAAATACGTACAAGCAAAAAGGCGTATGTGAAGATTGAAATTAGTGTAGAGTAGATGACAATGCTATCAATGGCGATCATCAGATAAGATATTTATGTCTGCCTACAGAAACGATAGAAGTGGTGAATTGTGGATAACAATAGCTTTGCTAGATCAACCTTATTGTTCATATATCTAAAGAAACAAATGAATTAGAGACATTCAAATACATAAACGGGTCAGCAAGCCATCATAGATCAAGCAAAGAAAATCGGGCCTTGGAGGATTTAGAACATGTAATACAATGATTAGAAAAATTAAAATAAAAACTGCTGAAGTACCGACTTCGGTATACACATTAAATCGACCCCACATTTCAGCTACATAGTTTCAATAGTTGGATGATCATTCTGACAGAATTGAAATAAATGAAGGTGAGAGAATAACATAAGGGCCGATCAACCACCACGGATCCAAGAATGACTTAAAGGTGGTGAACACCACTTACTAATGAACCCCGATATCGTATGTAACTGTCACCCAGGCTTTCCATATGAAGATTATGAGCTTTAACAGACCTCAAATAAGAAAAAACAAGAAACAGTTCGATGTTTCTGGAGCTAAGAGCAGTAAGATTCTTCATTCTGCCATACCCATTGTCCCCACTTCCAACACTGCCAAAACTGAAATATTTAGTTATAAACGTGTTTGGTTGCCTTTTCACGATTAAAAACTGAAGACAGCGCATCTACGAGCCCACTTACCAAAATTTATCCTAGTCTTACATTTGAAAAAGAAACCATGAAAAATGTTGCTTCTATTCACAGGTTGTAAATGGTTGAGTAATAGGTTTTTAGCAGACCTCTACACCATTGAGGCAACAATGAAAATGAGAAATAGATCCATTTTTGAGTAATTAAAGCAAACACAAACAAAAAATAAAAACCATATTACGAAAAATATTGAAACGGAAAATTCTATAGAGCTGCACAATATAGACTACTAAATATGAGCCCTTGCCTGGTTTTGCGCCTCAAACGCATATTTCAAATTCGCTAATAGATCGTCACCAATTGTAACTTCATGAACAGGAAGACGACTGCTCACAGGTGCAAGATAGTTGTCATGAAAACGCCGCAAAAGACTAATAACTCCCGTATCTCCTTCCAATAAAGAAACCATCTTTCTGTAGATTTCAACCTGGAAAGAAAACTAGGATTGACATTTTAAATAAAAAATATTACCTCCTCATCTAGAGACTTCTGGTTTACTAGCCATTGTTTAAGCCAACCATCAATTACGCGCTTTTTCATAATAGTTTTCCGAAGAGTCTAGATGGAAAGAAATAAGAACGACGATTTGCGAAATAATATATCAACATACATCTTCCTGGTCTACTTGAATTTCAAGTGCCCTTCTTGATTTTAAAACTAAAAATTTCCACAATGTACGATTGGACCACTTCATCAACTCTTCGTCGGAGAGAAAAGGTGACTGTTTAGAGACGGTTCTTGAAGATAAAGATGTGCTCATTTTCCTAGAAGGAATACTTGAGGCCACTGAATCCTAAAGAAGATTAAAGAATAAAATATAAACGGAAACTGAAGCCTAACTAGTGGGTTAACATTTTACCTACATTAATGCTAAAAGATGGAAGTGTGTCGCGGTTTGGAGAGGATGCAGAAACTGTTTTTCTTGACACAGATGCCGATCTATACCGAGATTTAACTAACAATTAACATTTAAGGTTCATTACAAACCTACAATTTTCTTTCCAGCTGACCTTCCAACATGGGACATCCTTATTTCAAGCTTTCATGCGTTTTACACAACCCGCCTTTTAATCTTGAGTACGTTTCCGTTTTCTTTTACGAAGTTTTTTAAAATTGAAAAAGTTTTAGGTATTTATTAAAAACTCTCAAGTTATGAATTAATAAAACCGTTCGGTCATTTGATAAATATCAATTGTTTTGCTCGGAATGAAAAGGTGCATTTAATACTCCCAAATAGCTTAATTTATCATGATTTAGAAACAAAAAAGATCATTTGCAGAGTCAATATATTTATTTTAATTAAGTAATTTATTCCAAATATAGTTATGAATATGGAGATTGAAGAGGAGGGGGGAGTGGATTTATTTATTGCTTTCAGTAGAATTGGTTAAACGGATAGAAATTTTTGTGATTTAGTTCAATTGACATTAATTGGCACAAGTTACATCTCAGATATCTTGTGTTTCACATAGTTAAATGCATGAATAAATATAAGAGTGTATATTTTGGTTCATTTCGACTTCTGGTAGTTCATGTGGTGAGACAGGCTCTACATTCAATTATTAAGAGTGATCTTGTATTTACGCTCGTCATTATCCACCTCTGTTACCTAAGGGATTAGAAACGATAACACATTCTGTTTGAAATAACATAATGGCTGATAGCCTTATGAACGCAATATTTGAGGCAGGCAAATACAGAGATTTGTTTAATTATCATTCTTCGTTAAGCGTCGGATCCCCTCGTATTATTAGAATGACGTTTCTGAATTTTACGGACTCAACAATTGTAAATCAATTTAGGGCAGGTACAAATCTCCCATTTTAAACGCAGCATAATCTAGCATATCCGGGAAACAATAAAATCGATTAAATAGTTATTTTTGATATTTTCAGAGATAGCTGAATTAGATGCATGTTACTTTTGTAATTTTTTTCACTTCATCCAAGTCTTGTTTATTTAATTTCAATTATTGGTGAAGTGAATCCTGTCCTTTATCTTTCATGTCTATATGTCATAAATTCGCATTCCATTCTCAGGTACGAAGGTGTTTTCGCACTTTTTGAATACTCAACGATACAACTCCATTGCACATATAATATGGGCCATCTTTGTGTACTCGTATCCCCGCTCCACGTCTACTGCTCATATTTGTGCGCTTTTTAAATTCAATGCACTCTCGACACACATTTCTCAGGGATTCCACCTTATTAGCCACGCATAACGCAATTTCTACTAATTGGGGTTCACTTGAGCAATTTAAAATGTTCATATTCACAAACGTCTCATCCTTAGTGACTTTTAGAACGAAGAGATCCATTTGAGAAATTGCCTACTTTGCACTTCTTGTGATATGTATCGAACCAGTTTTAATTTCACAGTTATTTAACTCTTCCCACTGGGCGTCATAAAATCATTTACTCTGGTTATGTAATTTATCTGTAAATGCATACCATTCTGATTTGAGGATTGGTAGAAATTAAACGATGTCCTACATATTAGAGAGGGAATTCACCAAGAGTTATCCCAAGCATATTTGTTCAACAAAAGACACGACCCGAACATTTATTTTAACTTCTAGAAGAATTTCAAAGAAAAAGGCTTGGAGGAATATTATCAATTTGCTTGATTGAGAATGAGAAAAGAAAATAAAATCGAAAGGCGCTTCAAGAAACACACTGTGTGGGTGCACGATAAACCAAGGTGGGCAACACAAAATGCATAGCAATAAAGAGCAAGAGAGATAACACACACATATTCATGAGAAAGAGCACGGCACAATGACATACAGGAAGAAGAGAGCCAGAGATAATTCGTAAGATTGGTTGCTCGGGCGTAAGTTTAGAAATCTAGGCGGAATCCAGGACACGAGATATCCCCATTTTCAGCACCCTCAGCAGTCATCACTTGAATAGTTGAACGTTCTGCTACGGTCAAGATGTCAATTTTAGCGTCTACCAGACGTTTTTCATTCAATGCCGCCCACTCCAAAAGACAAGGAGAATCGCGTGCCAAAATGAGGGAGACCTCGCGGTTTACACCCTCAGTGCTATCCGCTATTAAAGAACAGAAAAATTTTCGCCCAATACAATAAAATATTAAAATACTTCTGAGAAAAGTTCGACTTCAGAAATCAGAAACTTGAAGTTGGTGAAGAAGTAGAAGTAAGCTGTTAGAGTAAGACACTGCTACTAATAGCGTAATAAGTAGAGAAAAGCTATTCAAAACGCGTTCTATCACGCCACACAAAACTATAGAGCCAAAGTTACCTCTTTTAAAAAGGCGTCCATATCGTATAGCTAATAATAAGACGACATACGGGTGGTGATATGCTAATACACAAAGATAATCAGTGCAAAAGAAGACCACTATGTGGATTAATGGTATACTACTAACAGAAAATTTAAATAGCTAGATCTTACCACTGGAGGTCTTTTTACCAACAAGCATAGCTTTGAGCAGATCTGCCGTAGGCGCAGCAGTTGTGGCAATGTAGTATCGAGCTAAGACACGTTTGAAGAACTCTGCATCTACAAGGTGTGTGTCCCCACCACCTGGTAGAAAAGCGACGTCCACGAATGTGCGCTTTGTCATCTTATCAAATAGACCCTTTATGGCGCCCGCAGAGGCTTCATAATAACCCTCAGGCGGAGAATGAGCCGCAGGTGGAGTTTTTGAAAACGAAGTTGACTTTGCGCCCTTCGCTACAATAAATTAAATACCATGATTCCGTTCGTAGTCTTATTAAATGAGCGAGCAAATTGGTTCCGGTCATATCCTATCAAACACATCAGGAATTTTGAGCCCGAAGTGACTACTATTTATGGGGTAAAACTCAGTAGTTGGCAAGCCTTCTTCTCATTGTTGTATAAGATAAGTTAGAAATAATTTAAGAAAAAAAACACTACAGGCAGCTTCGAACACTGGAGATTGAAACATACTAATGAATTTGGTCAACTGTCAGGACCTTCACTGAGGTCAAAGTGGAAGGACAGTTGTTTAACTCTGAAATGCATATCAGCAGTTGAATAACTGAAAAAAATGATTAGGGAAATTCTAACTAGCCTGCAAATGTTAAAATCGCGAGGCTTTCAGTTAAATTCCAATCTAAAGTGCAGGCTCCAATTTTAGTGGAACCTGTTCAATTTAGACATCATTTAAGATGACAAACAGGAAGAAAGAATATTTTCAAAGCTCTGAGTTAAATTTGCAGAAATGTTATTTACGGACATGCGATTTTTAGACAACTCTTCTCCAATATTCGAATCGGGAAAGGAAGTGTTCCCATTGCCAAATTAGTAAATAAATAGTTGACCAATCAACAGACATTTGGATTATCAGTGTCTGGTCATAAGAAAAAATTGTTCCAAAACACGTTTTTGCATCTCAGTACTTATCTTACATTTTTTATGCCTTTGTGTCTGTCTGTCTCTTTTACACCGGTGTATCACTCTTCTGCTCCCAATCTCGACTTTTTTATCACTTTGATGTTCCTTCTCCTCTCTGTGAAGACTGAAGTCAACTAAAGGGCTACTGATAACTATCAAAACGCCTGCCATCTGATATAAATAAATAAATAAATAAACTTTCATATTCAAAGTGCAACAAACTAGACGCAAGCATGACTCTCCCCGGTAGTTAAATGCGTGCGCGTGCATTAGTCACCACTTCGCACTGTCAGCCTATCTTTCACTCTTCTACAAATTGCACATGCCTATTTGCCTACATTCTCACACAAAGATAAATACGTTATCTCTCTCTCTCTTTGTCTTCTGTCATGAATGCCCCACGTAGAAATATCTGTTAAAACAACATACCATGAGCTATGTTGTAATTTTCATGAGGTTCTAATCGGTTATATCAATCAAGCTACTAGGAGCTTGGCAATAAACAGCACAAAAATAGCTTAACCAATCAGAGAGCACCAAATTAATCCAACCCGTACTTGTCTAAGCATATGGCACGTACGATCGGTGCTCAAGGCAATTGCCACATAAACTACCATAACCAGCAGTCGAATGAGCCAGCCATTGTTGGCATCAGTAAAAAGATGACAATTCAGACAGCTACAACATACAACTTAGGCGATCCTAGCGTGTGCACAGAAATATACTGTAGCTAACATCAATCAAAATGGCTCACGTCCCAATAATTTGATAAAATTGAGGTGTTTTCATTGCCACCTACTAACCGAGTTGAAGGCCTATATCGTCAACATGATCCCAATCTATATTATGTGAGGATTGCATAATTTTTCGTAGTGACCAGTTTGTACGCTTTCAATACGGAGATTAAGGTACCCTTTTCATAGAACAACAGGATGAATGGATCGAAAGAACTAGCATGATCACTGGAAAGAGTAACAAAAGCTAATTATACATGAAATAGAGCAACGTCGTTTTTGATTTAGGGAGTATTCTATGCAGAAACGGAAATAAAGTATCAACTGTCAATGCAAAGATGCTAGCTTATGAAAAAGGAGTTTTGCATTATTTTTTTATTATATACCACTCAGAATTTAGAAAATCTGCTTGTTTGATAGGAAATAATTTCTCTGCTAAATCAATATACTCGATCAAAATTTTTAGAAACCTTAGTTATATTTTAACTGTCAAATAAAACGCCTTTTCGACAATAAATTTACAGAAGAGAGTGCTTTTATCAGGTGTGCGTTTAAAGATTTCACTAAACCAGAGACAGCCTGCTGACCGTTCGCTAGCTCAAAGATCTGAGTCAACTCATGTGAGCAAAGGAATGGAGCACATAAGATTATGCAAACAAGTTCTTTTGTGTGATTAAAGACGCACGTTTAGAAAGCATTCTCGGGACTTCCAAAAGGTAAGATTTTCTAATAGATATCACTTTTGATGAAAAGAGTTTCAACGGACTTGAGAAGAGCAAACTATGATGCGAACAAACAAGTCAGAAGTGCTATTTCTTTGACATCCATTTTTCGAGATTCAACACCAATTTCAGTTTAGATGTTGCGTTCAAGAAAAAAATGATTTTGCCACACAGGTGGTTCCATGTTCACGAATTTTTGACTGCAATTATAGTTCCTCTTTAAACATAGGATGTGCGATAGACTTACCTCCACGTGGTGCACCCTGGGCAACGTTTACTCATACGGCAAAAAAGTCTATTAACCGTCAGTTGACTTCTGACTTCTAACTACCATGACTCCATTGTATGTCATAGTCGACCACTTCTACAGTACTCACCTTACATTTTCTCTGCCTTTGCGTCTGTCTGTCTATTTTACCTCTGTGAATCTCTCTTCTGTCCCCCTCTTGAATTTTTCTCTCTTTCATGTTTCGCCCCTCTGTGAAGTTTGAAGCCAGCTAAAGGGCTAATGACAACTATCAAAACGCCTGGCATTTGAAATAAATAAATATTCTCTCTTTAAACACTACACTTCTGAATGAGTACATTTTAATAGTAAAAAGTTATCTCCACGGAAATTAACCCGCTTCTCCCACCATTTAACCTCCTTACCCATCGCACAAATACGTCTTAAATGCAATCAGTGTTAGTGTGTACTAAAATTTGTCCGAAAAGATTAAGTTATACTATGGGTTATGAAATTAACTAAAAGGACAATTTGAGCACTTTGGGGTGTGACGCGAGAGGGGGGAGGGAAGGGGTACTAAAGAGCTATCATTGATTAATCAACCCAAAATAATCCATTAAAATTATCCGTACTGAGACAAAAACCAAAGAGAAATTGTTGAAGACCACAAGAATGCATAAAACTCATGCTAACACAACGATAAAAAATGCAGCCAGGCAATAGAAAGGAAGACGGCAGCTTAGTCATCAAAGTAGGACAGAGAACAGACAGTGGCATGACTATGGTCAGCTAAGCCTGATAGAGCATAGAGTTAACAAAGGACATGCCACTGCAAGAAAGTGCTAGAATCCGAACAGGCATGGTTGGGGTGAGTGAAATGCTTTTGGAGACTAGAGTTTTTAAAGAGCTTAAATGCCACGTGTCCATTTTATTTTATAGGTTGCCAATCGACAATATTTTCCTTTAACTCAGGATGTCGCGGACCTGGGTTCACTTAGAATACTGAGAGACAGGCAATACTGAACTACATCCGCTAAGTAAACAAGCATCAATCAAAACCAAGGTTTAGGAGGAATCCTTGCCAATTAGACCTTCCAACCTTTCGAGCAAGATAATATTGGTAGGCAACAATATCTCGACTTCATCACCTAGCAAACCCACATTTTCGGTGCAAAATTTACTCGCTCCACCTCGCCTAGTATGATGTACAAAAGCTTCAGCACCCTTTCCTTCTTCTCACGCTACGCATAAAGTGTATCTTGCAATGTGGGGGAGGGGCAATCATAAATCCTGAAACAAGAATCTATCTCCTTGCCCTCAATTAAAGCCTCAACTCCCACCTGAAAAAAAGGGGAGAACGAAAGGAAAACAATACCTTCGCATTAGCGACGAAATCACAGATGCAAAATCCCCAAAGACCCCCAGGGCGATTAAAACGCCACACACATCGGAATGACATTCATAACAGCTATCTCAAAGTGTCACTTCACTTGCCCAATTACTGCAATCTATACTATCTCTACGAAAACGGCAATATTAGCTTTGTAATTCGATTCAAAGATTCCTATTCTTGAAATGAATGAGTAATTAGGAAACATATGATAAACTAACCATAAGGAGGAGGCATGCCCTGAGGTTGTCCCCAATCCTCCAGAGGATTAAGGCAGTCTCCTGAAGTCGCCGATGGGAATTCAAGCACTTCTGAGTGTTCGGCGGGAATGTGTTGGTCGCCGTCAACAATGGGTTCTTCTACATTCGAACGAGAAGTCGCATAGAAGTCGTGGGTTTGGTGGACATTATCGCCTCCATTCAAGCCTTCAGAAAACTCCGGCTCCGAAGGGACAAGATGACTCTCGAGGAGGAGTTCATCAGTGGGTACTTGTGCAATTTCCCCTTTAAAGATAAAGGGAGGTAAAATATTCAGTTGACAACATAACAAAGAAGCTTTTGCATTTATGAAATACTATCGCAGACGTATCTTTTCTAAACCCAAGTCTAATCATTACTTTGATTAAAAGATTGCTACGTTCAAGTGGGATTTTGAGGTGTAAGTTTAAAAGTTGGTGTAGAAATGTCCGAACAGAGTATATTCTAAACACCAGTAAATTGTTGAGTGTTTACTCCATTAAACCAATCTCCCCCCACATTGTCCATTAGTGAACACACAACTGAACTGCTTCACTTTTCAGTGGGAGAACTAGATCTATTCAGCTTGCGGGTGAGTCTTGTCTCCTATTTAAAATAAAAAATAAAATAAAGAGCATTCGTACACTCATTCTATTCACTTTCGGGTGACCACTAAGGCCAACTACTTGCTGCCATCCTTCAGCAATGAGATTGCCCTGATTGGGTCTGGCTCTTGACACTGCACGATCTCTACCACAAACGATAGTCTTTGAAACCGGTCAACAGAATGTTCATTGAAATAACAACCATGAAGGAACAAATGCACCTAGTTCCATTTTTTAAATAAGGTACACACTACAACGTGCAAATGGGAGATTCCCATAAAGTGAGCTTCATTTAAATTGCAGAAACGAGAAATCCTTGCAAACCACTGACAAATTTCAGAAAGTCATAAGGTGTTTGGGATAAATTTAACAGTTTCATTAGGAAAAAGATGATGTGGCTAGTAAATGCAAAAGTTGGCAGGTCTAACAGTAACTCAACAGACGTGAAAACTGTACCAATGTGAAATTATCATACTCAAAACAGCCACCATTGTAATGTTCTGTATACTCAATCAGACTCCAGCTACGGCTCAAGCTCCGGGACACGAATCAAGAGGATGCTAAATTTTCTTAAAGAAGGGTCTCAATAATGGCTTTCATCTTCTCTATTAACTCGTTAGCTTTTGCATTACTGTCACCCACGGAGTAGAGCTTGTTCCACCCATAGCACCTCCGACGTGCATATTAGCCCTTCGGGTTAAGAAGTGAGGTGGAAGAGAGAGTGCTTGGAGGCCAAACACACATTAGGAAGTAGTTTTGTGGTAAAAATTGGCTGACGACTATTCCTGACTCTTTAGTATGGTGTGTGTGACAGCTGATCAAATGCTGCTGCCGCAATACCTACGGCCAATCATTGGCTACTCTTGTTCGTTGCCCATGGGGTAAGTACTACAAAGGTCACCAATTCCACGTAAACATTCGAATTCATAGTAAAAGGCGGAGGGGGAGGTATATTATCTGAGTAGCATGACAGCTTGGGGAACTTGGTCTGCATGACTGTAAGGGTGTCCACTGCATCATCTGCAAGCAAGCCATCTCTAATTCTGCGTGTTGTGCCTCTCAAATTGACAAGTTTTTCTCATACACTTGTGTTTCAGCGGAGGGAGGCATTTTATCCTTATCAAATTCGAGAAAATGATCAAAAGCTTCGGAACTCTTTGAGACCACTGATTAAAATGTTTCGATAGATTTAAGGAAGTAAGTCGTGATCCATTCTGATGAGAGACTGCAATGCGCTTTGTCACCAAACAGAAGCTTTTTAGTAACCCCTGAGACATTTATTTACAATGACCACTAAATGGATAAATAATCGAACTTTGGTATTAAAGTTGAATGAACACAGGGACTTCAAATAAAAGGAGAAACTGAACTCTTACAGCAATTGGCCTACTTAGAGAAATTCCAATAATATCATTAGAGAACCAAACTGACCTGATGGAACGGGAGAGGGCTCTACAACTTTGTCATTTCTCTTCTCAGCATTTGGTGCCTCTTTTGGCAACTCGCGCTTCAGGGCCTTAGCCTCCTGCTCCATCGACTTCATTGGTACCTTCGTTTTAGGCGCTGGTTTTGTCAGCCTGGTATTAACATGAGCTGCAGATGAAGCATTTCTCATTGGCATTGATTTCGAGGTTGACAAAGGAACTCTTGTTGTGGAGGTGGTAGATTTTGCTGAAGCTGTCGGTCTTGAAATAGTTCTAGCACTAGGTACTGCAGAATTTGGTTTTCGAACGCCTCCAAAAACATTTCCTGCTGGTGCCGCATTCGGAAATACAGCTTCTGGATCTGCACTACGGATGCATGGAAAACCATAGTGAAGAGCCTCGAGAGCCGTCAGAACTCGGAGTTGATGAGCGTTTGGAGCCACAAAGAGAATTCGTACGTGGCGATCCCCTTTCCGATGAGACTTCCAAATTAGAAGACCAGATACACTCAGTTGTGAAATCTGAAAATAAAGTCATCACAATTTTTGAGATGGTACTACAAGCTACTTGGCTCCTATCGATAGTACTAGAGTCTTTGAATATTCTTGGCTCTGAGGTTGATAAGGGGCTTAAGGAATGAAAAATATCAACTTCCTAATGGACTACTTACTGCTACAATGAAGACAGGCTGAATATGTAAGAGCTTTTCAGCCCGTAGAAGTGAGCACAGATCCCTCAAAAATATTAGTTCTTTGACAGCTCCTGGAGAAACTTAAAGGTTCTCTGTAGATTTGATGAAATCTAGTATTACCCCTGCATGGAAGCACTGTAAATACGCGTGTAAACCAGAAGATGTATCATGAGGAAAAACAATGGAAATTTAAGGCTTAATGGTATTGAGAAAATTAGTGAAGTTTAAATTGAACAGATTTAAGTTGGAACCAATTGAAAAAAAGGACCAAAAGTAAATCTTTCCTCCTTGTAAGGTTTCAAATGCAGCAGTCCTTTGGTGCGAGAACTGAATAAAATAGGTTTTGAAAAGAATCGGGATAAATAACTGAATGTCAGCCTTCGAATTGTACTTTACCATTATCGAAGGACTAATTGCCAACAAAACTGTTATTTAATTATCTAAAGATAGTCATAATGCCAAAGACTATATTCAACAGCTGGGGTGCGCAATAGACTTACCTCCACGTGGTGCACCCTGGGCAACGTATACTCATACGGCAAAGTCTATTAACTGGTAGTTGACTTCTCCGCATACGGCAAAAAAGTCTATTAACCGGCAGTTTTCTTCTCACTTCAAACTACCATGACCCCCCTATATGTCCTACATTCTCATACGGCAAAAAAGTCTATTAACCGTCAGTTGACCTCTGACTTCAGATTTCGATGGCCCGACTATTTGTCATATTCGACCCCTTTCGCAGTACTCATCTTACCTTTTTATGCCCTTGTGTCTGTCTGTCTGTCTCTTTTACCTCTGTGAATCACTACTCTGTCTCCCATCTCGACTTTTTGTCACTTTGATGTCCCTTCTCCTCTTCGTGAAGCCCCGAAGTCAGTTCCAGGGCTAATGATAACTATCAAAACGCCTGCCATTTGATATAAATAAAAATATTCAAAAGCTAAACATAAACTGGGGTAAAAATTGTACTAAAGAAACTGTTGGATTAAAAGTGCATTTTAAACTGCCCTGGAAATATCGGAAGGTACTTGAATGCCAGATGTTGACAGATAATTAATAATTAAGATGGCTGGAAAACTGAATAACAGAAACTCACATAAGGAAAAGAATAACACGTTTGTTAAGTCAAAACCGAGAGATTCCAGTGACTAATTAAAAACAGTTTCTTTAAGACAAGAATTGCTGCAACTGGAATGCAACTGTATTGAGGAGAAAAAGTAAGTTATGCAATAATAGTAGAAAAGAAATTGGAGTGTGGAATGTGACAGGTGAAGAGGACACAACTGAAGATGGTGTTCCAAAGGTAAATTCCTTGAAAAAGTGCTTAATCATGAATAAGGCGAATGGAAAGAACATTTAAGGAATGACGCGAATCGCTACAAAACAATATCCACAAAGATGACAACACTTTCCTTTCCAATGAACTGATTTAGTGAAAAAAAGACATTATTAAGTGGTATTTTAGGACTGTGCTGAAAAAAAAATATTAAAGGAGTAGGAGATCGAATATCGTTCCGAACTCCAAAGATTAAACTCCAACGTCAAATCAATCCCTCTTAGAATTCAACTGATAAAGAAGCAATCCGAAAGTTCAGAAAGTAATTTACCGATCAGTGGAATTAATAAATGTGGATGGGTGCCTGGGGGGGGGGGCACAATTTGAATGGTTAAGATCATAGCAAATATAGAGAGCTAATTATAACATGTTCGTACCTTATACAAAGATTTCTGTGCAGGTTTGAATATACAGAGTGATTCGATAAGGGCCATCAGTGAGATAAATTCTAGTTGCTGATACTGACTAATCAAAGCAGTTAGTAGCATTTTCTAACTACCATCGGAGTTTGAATTCAATAATTCCTTAACTGATATTGAAGCAACGACGAGAAATCCCGTTTCAAAAACCGTGGAACTTTCGAATTCCAAGAGGTATCAAAAGAACGAGGCTTGATTGCCAAGAACGCTGCATTAGGCTCTCTTTTTTTTACCCCATAACCATTTGAACATTTTCTCAGGTCACGAATTTGATTTCAAATCATTGCAAAACCATGAACAAAAATTGTGAACTTGATCGAAATAAAATTGAATTGAATTTTACGCGAATATCGACAGCTTTTTCACCAGTTCATCTACATTGTGAGTACCCGGGTGTGTGATAGACTCACCTCCATGTGGTGCACTATGGGCAACGTATACTCATACGCCAAAAAAGTCTATTAACCGGCAGTTGACTTCTGACTTCAAACTACCATCACCCCACTGTATGTCATATTTGACTACCTCACAGTACTCACTTCACCCTATCTCCCTACCTTTGGGTCTGTCTCTACATCTTGGAAATACACTTCTGTTCCACTCCCCTCTCGACTATTTTTTCACTCTGATGTTCCTTCCAATCTGTGAAGCCTGAAGTCAACTGAATGGCCAATGAAAACTATCAAAACGCCTGCCATTTGATATAAATAAACATTTTGAGTACCCATTGCCTTATATCAAGTAAAGCAATAAATAAAATTAATTATTTCCTGAAAAAAAGGAATTAAGGTCAACATAGAGCCTCTCAGAGTTCTGCTCTGAAATGTGACTTCTTTTTCCCTTCCGACAGAGGAATGAATGAGGAGAGCATTGTTAATACACACGGGATGAGTAGAATAGGCTGCGGTTGCTAGAGGGGATTGTGAATAATTAATGGACACCACAAAGGCCTGATTAGTCGTTAGGCTCCTAGCAATAAAACCCATAATGACATAGGTATATTAGGAGCTAATTGCGGTCATTAAAAGGTATGGATCGAAAGAGAATGAGTTTCGGGGATTGCTATGAAGTACAAGAGGAGTATTGCATTACATGACAAAGCATAGGAGACTAACGTATATTTACAAAAGTAATTAAAAGGATATTTTTACATACTCCATTTGTTATAAGGTTAAATTGTGTAATTTAATAAATGTTATTGAAATAATGTTAAGATTACAGCAGACCCAAACCAAGTTTATTAAAGCGGAAGCTTAGTGCTTCTAATAAAACTTATTGGGTAAATTATGTGATACATTGGGAAAAATCGGAACTTTCATCTGAGTCGTCTAATATCGCCTAGTTTATTGCCTTCCTGGTACAACTCTTCCTCTTTGTGATTTACCCCCCCCCCCCCCCCCCCACCCCACTAAGCGAAATCTGCCTTGTGAGTTCTATTTCTCGGCTAAGCCATAAATTTAAGGTTGCCGCCTACTCTGCATTTATTCCGCATTCATAATACCCTACCACTGACTCCAACCACTAACTCTAATGGTAGCTGCGTCTGAAGAGTTTAAAAAATGGTATAACTTAACTAGTGAACTCAATGGGACACTGGTCTCTTCCTAAATCAGAGCCAACCCTACCCCCACCAATGGCCGATACAAAGGTCGGTTTAAGTAAGTCAAAAACCAGATTATTACATCTAGATAGTTAAAATGGATTTTGTTGGGGATGAAATAGTACAACAACCATTTCTATCGACCAAAAGACAGCAAAGTATAAAAACAGCCAAGACGAAAGGCAATCTGCAAAGACCATGATTCTCATGAAAACCCCGAGGCAAATAAATTGCATTTAAACTAGAGCAAACACATAAAGTATTCCAGTCAGTGTACTCCTTTCTTGGGAAATATGATAAAAATCTGCGACATCTCAACAACAAAAGTCTGGAGTAAAACACCCCCCCCGACTAAAGTTATCTTTCGTGCTGTCAGGCAAAAAGACAATCTAACCCCGCATCAGTGTAAAAAGGGAATTATTTGAGTTTAATGAAAATTATAGTACTAATTGAATTTAGACTTGTAATATGTGTAAAGACTTGTGTGTCTAGACTTGTGCTAGAATATATGAATATATATATATATATATATATACAACAAACATTGAATGGTAAATGTCTAGATAATTTGCAATCGCGTCCCAGCGTGCACGCATTGTCGAGAAGCATAATTTATGCTAGTTGGGGAAAAACCGCCGAGAAGTCTCAATAAATTCGATTCACGTCGAACTCAACTTAAAACAAGAGCACAATCAAAAGCTAATTGAAACTTGAGGAAATGGAAGTAAATTCGAAGCAATGCGTTTCGCCAGTTTCGCCTGCACCCCCCAGAGAGAAAACAAAACCCGTTTCAATTATTTTTTTGTAGACAACAACATATCAAAAGTACAACTACAAAGTGGGGTCATTTATTGGCCAGATTTGCTTTCAGATTTTCCTCTTCACGCCCTTTACTAACTGTAAGGCGAACAGCGGGTACAGGTTTACATCTTCGGTGGAAAAAGTCACCTCAATAAACACATTAAAGAACTCTCTACATCAAGTTTGAGATGACATCTGACAAATTAAATTACAACTATGGGGAGCAAAGGTGGATATAAATCAAAACTATCTAAGGTGTTTGATAGGAGCAGTGAGTCAATCAATATTGAAAAAAACATATTACTAACTGAAAAACGACCAGCAAATGATGACATCAGTTCCACTTTAAGGAAGTTTATTCAAGAATAAACCTTAAGTTCTTCAAGCAAATCCTAATTTCGACAGAAAGCAACTAACGTTATAGAATATTAGATAGACATTGGAATTCAGCACATTTCGAAGAGAAATTGAACAAGAAAAACGACAAGATACATTTTGAACTTACAAGAGGCAGAGCAGCGTGTTTGATGGCTGAGGTTCCTCTTGGTGCTTCTGCAAGAGCTGAAGCCACATTGGGAGCAGCTTTGGCCCAAAGAGCTGTCAGCTTCTTTATCTCCATCTGATCCTCATCAGTAGGAGTTAGAGGGTAGAAATCGAGGCTCCCACATCCTACCTACACAAAAGGCCATATGGAATTGAAAAACCGATCTACAAATACTGATGACGACGAATTCGATAATTAAGCCAATATGTAAATAAACACTGTCAGATATGATAACAATTGCCCACAATGTGGCCATCGATTTGAAGTCCATGAGCAGCCTTGCACTTGACGTCTAGACCGCCATTAAACAAGTCATATTTTTGACACTTGGGGTGTGCGATAGACTTACCTCCACGTGGTGCACCCTGGGCAACGTATACTCATACGGCAAAAAAGTCTATTAATCGGCAGTTGACTTCTCACTTCAAACTACCATCATCCCACTGTATGTGATATTCGTCCACTTCCACAGTAATCATTTTACCTTTTCTCTGCCTCTGTGTCTGTCTCTTTTACAACTGTAAACCACTCTTCTGTTCCCCACCCAGCGACTTTCCGTTACTTTGACGTTCCTTCCCTCTATGAAGCCCTAAGTCAGGTAAAGGGCTAATGATAATTATCAAAACGCCTGTCATTTGATATAAATAAATTTTTGATACTTTCTCGAAGATAACGAATTTGTTTCTGGGTAAATATTTGCGAATAATATTGTAATAATCAAAGGAAGATTTTAATTTCACGACTAATTAAGGAGTTTAAGAACCGCCAGAAGGAAATATAAATGAAATAAATCGTAAAATGTTCGAATAACTAATAGGAAAAGCGAAACAGCAAACCTCTTTCGATGTTAGAAGTTATTCAGACAGGTGGCTTTGGTAATTATCTGATATCTTTGTGCTTAAATTCACCATTCTAATATCATACCAAATATCATACTGACTAACTTCCCATTCGCTATAAACACGTTTTTTTATTCCAGAAGGCTATATTGACATTGATTCCAAGCTCATTGCTGCTGCTGTTCTAGGATCGCCTTCAATAAGATTTAACTACATCAAGACTTGAGTGTCAATTTGTAATTGGGATCGTAAATCAAACGGTTTCTTTCGAACTTTTCAAAATATCCCAAATGGCGGAAAAGTCAGTACTTGGATCCGTATCTTCACTAACTTGTTACCTAATTAATCTTCCTGAATCCCAATGCGAACACAATGTCGACTTACTTTGTAGTAAAGACAGATGGGCTTAGGCATAGCCGTTATCTTTCCACCTCGTGTCACCTCTTGAGCAACGAGTTTGCCGTCAGCAACAAAAGACTTCACAGTTGAAGCCAATTCGTTCGCGACAATGGCAACATTCATCACGAGAGGGTCTGAAGGAGGGGATATTTCCGCTGACAGCGGGTGAGTGATGGCGCGAGCTGGCGGTGCCGTTAGAACCAATGTCGCATTTGGTTGAGTTGATGAATTGCCTTTAGAGGAGATGAGAGCTGGTAGAAGAGAGGTCAGACTAAGGCAGTTCTCGACTCCCCAATGGGTTTGTAGAATGGCATCGATACTAAAATGAAATGACGGGAGAAGTATAGTTGATTCCTATGTAATATATAAAAACACTCTTTGTGACGACTTGTAGTTATTCAATTCAAAGTTGAGAAGAGAAATAAATCTCAACTGGTAAGAAATAAAAAGAATTGTTGAAAAAATTTTTAATTTCAGAGTTAAACGAAACGGGAAAATTCATTTTAAGCAACAACTAATTAAAATGTATTAATTAAATCAGGCACCCATATTAAATTTTAAAAATTAGAAAGGATTCGTAGAACATAAGCCCCCTCCTATCCATATCTTGGCTATTCATGCAGGTCCGGATCTTGAAGTGTAAAGTAAGGGCTTTTACTCAAACCCAGGTCATCAAATCACAGGGTTAAAATGACTACAAAAGAAAAACACCAAAACTCGATGTGTGAATGGAAATTTCCTCTCAGTGAGCAAACGCTGGTCGTCTATTTCTTTTTAAATTACAAAAGTCAATGATTCATGCTTCAGCTATTTGAATTTCGAACAGCACAAATAGGGAATATAAAGGCCATGTGAATGGTATTTCGGAAGGCGCAAAACAAGCCTGATTAATGGCAGTAAATCGCACGCCAACGTTGTTTGTTAACATCTGTCCACAGGCACTTGTTGGCAATTGCGCGTCAATACAGATAATAAGTTAAAATGAGTATTTCTTTGTTCCTTTTAGGAAACAAATGGTGCCATCTTCTCTTCTGTATCAAAATCAGCACTCGCTGAAAGCACATCTCACCGAAATTGAAGCCCGTTATCTAATAGCCATGATACGTGCAGTATTTACCGAAAGAATATCCCTGAGAAATGACCTGATTAAGGTAAACAAAGGACGTAGTCACTAGCTCACTGATACAAAATTCTTTAGAGCCATTTGAAAAGGACTACAATAGAGCATGATATCCTGCTTCATTGTTAAAAAGTGAAAATCTGTAGTAGATGGCAAATCAAATAAGGCTTGAATTTGATTGTTCATTATGTTCAAATCAAGATCGGAAAGGCGACAACTTGCTAGGAGCCTCTTAAAAATAGAACATTTCTGAAGCAGAGAATTTTAGACAGCCAACCCGAGAGGGCGAAATTTCACGCTCTCCGCTCCCATAGAATATTCATCTAACATCCATGAGCCTAAGAAAGAGAATAGCACTTCAAAACTATTCACAATTGAGAACAGTAAAGCTAAGGATTTATTACCAATTAGGAATCATTTCGTGAAAATTGCAGAAGAAATGAGCACAGAAAATACTTAAATAAATAAGCTGAGAGCCCCTTGTTTTATAATTAAAATCAAAAGCAACCTCCTTTTGTGGCCAAAGGAATACAAATGAAAATGGAAAGAAGAATCAGAAAAGTGTTAGAGCAATACAGGAGGTAAGTAATGATAGAATAGAATGTGAATTTTCGGAACGCATTTAGAAATCGCTATTACAAACAAAAATAGTTAAGAGAGTTGCAACTCACTTTTCGAAATGTTGGGCCAATTTCCAGCATTTTGGATCCCTAGTAGCACCAGCATTAACCATCAAAGTAAAACCAGGCAGAGCGAAAATGGACGACTGACCAGATCCCTCGGGAAAAATGTAGAGACAAGGACGTCGAATGTGAATAGAGCAGTCATTAGATTTTGAAACTGGTTGGCAGGTAGGCTGTGGTGACTTTGGCAACTCAAACACAGATTCGAGGTGCTGGCAGAAGCTGTGGACACCTAAGATCAGAATATTAAACTTTGATAAAGATTTCATATTTTACCAGTGATACGAAAATCCATGTCATTATTTGATTAGGAACCTTTAACAATATAGTCTTTATAATGGCGTTATTTATTTAATGGGGTTCATATATAACCTAATCAGATGACAATTTACTAGAGAGCTAAGTAACTGACCAATCGTATTCAATAATTTGGAGCAGTAAAGATAAGAAAGTAGTCATTGTTTACAATCAATTAACGATAATTGTAAATAATTTCGCAACTTTACGATTAACAAGCTCACATGTGAGAATTAACTGGTAAACAGTATTACATTTCGATTACTTAAAGGACATCATAAAATCAGATTTCCCACTAGCGAATGCAAATCCTTTTGAGGCAAAACTCTTTGTAAGACGTCCTTTTTCAGGCAAAAGGAGAAAAATGTCATCTCCTCAAGACCCATGCTTAAGCTTTTTAGTTGATCACGTCTTTATTTAGTAGGGTACTAACAAAATAGTACTCGGGAGAGAAGACTAAAGATCAAGTGGTAGAAACTGATCACATGAAATTAAGTGAAGACGTCATTAAATGCTAAGCATAGAAAAAACATTGAACAAAAAGCATTAAGAATCGAATAATATAATGATAATTAACAAATCGACTGTATCTATTGACATCATACTCGAGTTACCTATAAATAATCCCAATTAAATCATAACACAAAGCTAGTGGGTGGTAATCATCGACTGTTCCCAATTTCTAAATCAAAATAAAATAATAACTTAAATACAGGCGGTTGTAAATCGGCCCCGTTGCCAAAACCAGATGCAAGACATTTATATAAATATCCCCATGTACAACACAAGGAAGCTAGGTGCATACAACTAAAATTTAGCTGTTTACAGAAAATATAAAAATTTAACTAAACTTAGACAAGTACCAGAAATATCCGCAGGTAAAGGGGCGAGTTCGGGTTTTGTTGAAGAAGTGACGCCAGAGGCAGGCTTCTTAATCGGAGCGTGAAATCGATTTACTGTGGAGCACAGAGGGTGTCCGGCAATACTTGAAGGAAGACAAGTAGAAAGGACTCGACGCCAATCACCTCCATGGGGAACACTAGTACAAGCTACGTGAAAACTCATTGGAGGCATACGTTCCAAGGTTGTGTCTGCCTAGTAAAACATTTCCATCGATTTTCATACTTAGAAAGCTTACCAGAGTTTGTTGCAACTTAAGAGAAGCAGCATAGATTCTATCAGTGACATAATCAGGTTTGAACACACCATCTGAAAGAATCCAATTTGCACTCGATTGGCAAATAAGACCTGAGTAGACAAGAAGAACTTCTTTTGGTACGGAATTGAATGCATTTTCCACTTCATTTAAAACGCGCTCAATTGTAGCATCTGGAAGTACTACAATATTAACCTCGGAAGACGAAAATTTAATGCCTAAAAACGAACAGGCTTAAATAATTCGACAAAAATGTCCAAGGCGTAGATAAGCTATAAAGTTACCATGATCAGGTAGCTGTTCAGGCCCTACAACGGAAGTCAGAAGCTTGTTGACGTTGAGTGAGTCGAACTTCACCATACTTGCCATGCCTAAAAAAGCACATAACGTCAGCTTTAATTTAAGCATGAACATTCAATCAGGCTTAAAAATAACAATACATATGAATAAAATTAATTACCATCTTTGATGTGGGAGATGAGGTCTTGTAAATCTTGATTTTCGGGAGTCTCGCCAATTACGATAACAATGCTGAGCTCCGACATTGGGGGGTTTTGAAAGCGACCTAAGATTTCCTTTCACGCGCTATCGCGGTTATAATCTAGTTGGTGTAAGTAAACCATGGTACGAAATTGATATAAATTATGTTGAATAATAAATATAGTTACGACCCGTAAAAAGGCTTCTACATAAATGTGTATTATTTTAGTATAGGTCGTTCTACATTTTTACTTAACATATACATTCAATTGGGTAACATTTCTCACAGTCATGTCAAATTAGTACAAAGGTTTTGGACATTTTTAATTAATATAAAAACTAATTGTTAGGTCATTGATCCTAATATTACTTGATTTACATATTTTTGATCCAATTTTCCTATGAAGCTTTTAATTGATCAGATTACGGATATTGACAAGGAAGAGTGAAAATTTTGATAAGTTCTCTTATTAATCAGTTATCTGTGATGGATTAAATAAAAAAATGTATTAACAATAGCCAATTTTTACTCCTCATATGAAATCAATGTTGAATATTTATTAAACTAATTAAAGCCGATTTTTTTTAAGATTGAAGAGTAACATCAAGTAGTTTTCTCAGAGTTTCTGAAATTCAAAATCGGGAAATAAGATTATTAGTTTTGTTCATTCAAAACTCCAATATTAGGGATTTCTGAATATTAAATTTTTCAACTACTTATTCTTAAATTTCTAATAAACATAGCAAAACTTTAGCAATTTCTAACTTTCAATTGTAATTCCTAAATGAACGGCGAGAAATCGATTAATAAGACTGTTTACACAGCCTACGGCTAGGCAAAATAGACATTTTTTGTTAGAGAGCAACTCATAACAATGGTAGGTATTAACACCAAAAGAGGGTACATCAGAATGGACTTAGTAGATTATGCAATGCTGTTTGAAAAATGGTTATAAGTTTCTATTGCGATCTGTTCTCCGTGTTCTAAATTACAATTTCATAAATTGCATGATAATTTGCCGAATTACTTTGTCATTTAAAGTTAAATAGTAGACTAATAAATTTCAACTGTTGTTTTCTTTTGGTGGCAAGTTACATTAATAATGAAAGCTTTCCTTACGTAAGGAAGAATGAGATTCGAGTATTGATTTACTTGTCTTGCAATAACAATAAGTAACATTTCTAGCTCCTCTGCATGAAAATATTCACGCAAAAGTTTCCCACACATGACTCTTATTATGATCATTTATCTATTATCATAACTGTTCTTATTTCACACAAATAAACGTATCTATTTTGTTCATTTAAATTCCAAATCCCCGTTAAATTATTTGTATCATTAAAGAGAATGTAAATATTAACGGCTTAACGGTAAGAAATCCGTTTGAAACGAAGTAATAAACTGCTTCGATTGCATGACTAAAATACCGAAGATTAAGAAAAAAACATAATTTCAATGAAGACTGTTTACTATCATGTTGAGTTTAATGAAATGACCCCCTGTGGTGGAGTGGAGGAATAAATGGGTGATTTTGAATCATATGATGGTAAAGAAGATGGGTGATCATAGAGACACTGTTGTGAATAAGTATATGTTTGATTAATAGAAATTCTTTGTACATTTTAGTTGCCTTATTCACGAGGTCAAACAACTGCTTCATTGGTACTTGGACGATAGCGCTATTTTCATATCTTTTAAAATATTTAATCCATACCATCTTGCTCATTCCACAAATTAATTCTAAAACTTATAAATGAATTTTCCTTTTTTTACTCTATCATTCTCCGCAATAAGCATTTCCACATTTGTTTATTCTAAAGCTAGTTTGAAAGGTTACCTCCATTAGCCTATCAAGTGGAATCGGAAGTTAAAAGTTTAGCTAAAAACTTGAATTTATGCCAACTTGAGTCAGCACATTTTGTGCTATTTTTTAAGTTATAGGGTTTTAACTTCTCATGTAAACTTTGAAATTTGATTTTCATCAGGTTGATTGGTTTCTTATAAGTAAAGCCTTAGAACCGCTCCCTTTAACCTTTTAAAGCTATGTTAAAATTGCTGTTCTTGTTTGCATTCCTGTAGGTGAGAGTATTACCTTTATAGCAACTCATTTGCACGTTTGTGCTTCATCTCATCTGCCTGGTCATGAGAACAGCTAGCCATAAATTAATCAAGGTACTTTGACAGTTCTTTTGGGGAACTAGATCAAATGATTAACAAAAATCGAGCATTGTGAACATAATCTCATCCACAAATTTGCGAACCTATTCATTGAACTTTGGATATTAGGATTTTAAGAAAAAAATTATGTTTTTAGTAAAATATGAACTACTCAATATTTTAACAATACTCTTTCTTAATAAACTAGTTACTTCGTACTTTTTCTCTATCCTCACCCTTTGTCATATGTTGATGGACTCGTCCACGGTTCCCATTATTTCGTTACCACGATTTAAAGTGCTTCAACGTTTTTATCAATACTATGGGGAGCTATATTAAACTTCTTTATGCATTTACACCCGGTTTCAAAATCTATTTTCAATTGCGTTGTCGATTTAAAATCAAAGAAGAATAGAAAATCGAAGGTTTCCAGAAATTTTAAAAGAAAAGAAAGGTGAGAATTGATATTGAAGAATAAACTTCAACTTGAGCAATAAAAATTGAATGCAGAGGAAATGGGTCTTGTACCCACTTTTCCATAGTCCCCTCCACAAAATTATGCAACATTTGTCATGTTCGTATAAGGGATCAGAACTCAATAATTGCTTTATCACCATATAGAAAACTTTAAAAAATAGGTTCTAAGAGAAAGGTCTTTAATAAGTAAAAAGATTGATCGCATATTAGAAAGAATTAGAGGTCAAAGTATAAATTGATTTCAGTGGATTTGTTCAAGAAAACCCTTTAAAACTTTTTGAATCCGACGCTGAAGCATCATTGACCCGTCAGTTGCGATGCAGCATGTTTGTGGGACACGTTATCGCTGTGTGCGTCATCGTATGCCCGCGTGTCTGCTCGCCAGGATTGGGAGGTGCGACCGTACAACTCTGTGTGCAGCGACCGTACAAACAGTGACCAAACATCAACCTCTGTTTAACCTAATCTCCCATCCTGATCATGAGTAGCTCCCTGCGTGTACGCACTTTATCCGCAATACTCGTCCTGAATAAACGTGCTCCTTGCTACACGTCTGTTTCCTTGATACCTGGGCTATAGCTTAGCTGGTTCTGGGAGTCTAACTAGATGTAGAAGGATCTGCCATAGAGATTTCTGAGTCGGTCAGGCTTTACTAAGGTAGCAATCCGCTACATGTTATACTTGAAATTTTTACGAGAAATAAATTTATTCTGAGAAAATTACATAGTACAGGTATAAAAACATTGAAAAGCGATTGATTGATTGATTGAGGCACAATAACTGAAGAAAAATTTCAGTGGCATTTAGTTATAAGTACAAATCATTTTAACCTACTGAACTGTTTACTATCAGCAGAATTAAACAGAACCATTTCCCATCTAGTGAAAATTCTTCATATTTAAGTTCAGTCTTTTGTTAAAAATTTTCAAGACTGCGCAGCTGTATAGGAAAAACATAAATCACGATAAAATGTGGCTGAATTCCAGTCAAGAAAAGTCGACAAGCCGAAAAAATAACAAAGAATTAAATAGCTCTCCGAAGAAGACAAGATTTTTTGAAAGAAATGCATGAAGGAAGTTCAACTTATCGGTTTTTTCCCTTTCAACATGTTAATTCCAAATGGGCTTCACAAGTGTGCATTCGTGTTTACGTGTTTTTCTCAGTAGCTTGAAAATGAATATTATTTATAATTGATTTTATGGTGGAATCCTTTGTTATTGCAAAAAATCCAATTATCAACTCACCTGTTGGCTAAGATTAGGAATACCATTTAAATAACTTTTCCATATATTTAAAAAATGCGATTAAGTGCTCCCAATTCAAGCTAGAAAGATCTTCGAATTCCACCCCAATTGTGTATGTGCTCGACATATGTTGGAATAGGGAACATTATAATTATTATTTATTATTTCAAATGGCAGGCTTTATGATATTTATCATTAGCCCTTAATCTTTGACTTCAGCTTCCCCCAAGAGAGGGGGGGGGTACATTTATAGCAGTTAATTAATAGCAGTTCATTAGCAATCTTCTTGCTTCCCAGTATCTTTGGCTTTCCGTCCTTGTCTTTAGGGCTGGACATCGAATCAGGTGGGTCTTCTCCATTTCCTCCTGTAGGTTACATAGAGGGCATGTGGGTTGAGTGTATACTCCCAATCTGTGAAGGTGTTTTGCCAAGCAATCGTGTCCGGTACGTAGTCTAAACTCAGCAACGACGCGATAGACTTACCTCCACGTGGTGCACCCTGGACAACGTATTTTCTTACGGCAAAAAAGTCTATCACTCGGCATTCGTTTTTGAATTCGGAATAGGGAACATTATGGACTCTTTTATTTGGAGGTTTAAAATATTTGACCCTTCCAAATATTGAGATTTCATTAAACAAATTCTGGAAAATGATGTTAGGGGGGTGAATTTAACTACATATATTTTCACTAAAGTCTAGATTTAGAGGGCGATATTTCTCATTCGGTAATCAATAAAGATATCTTTTCTGACATTAGAGTGAATTTTCTCATTCACCTATGGGATAATGTTTACAAATGGGTCACGCACGCATTTAAAAACTCTCAATTGTGGAGCAACGCTACCGTATATAAGATCGCGATGAGATGAATAAGCACAGCACCCCATGAAGATGGAGGCTTCGAAGGCGGTAATAAAGAACTCTGATATGAGTGAGCAGATGCAACAGAAAGCTGTGGATTACGCCAAGCAGGGAATGGACCAATACGGAATTGAAAAGGAGGTTGCATCTCATGTAAAGAAAGCATTTGACAGAGAATTTGGCCCAACTTGGCATTGCGTTGTTGGCCGAAATTTTGGCAGGTAATTGCAGTATCTTGAAAATCGATGTTTAAATTTTTATTATGTGAAAAGTAATCATGTACTTTCCATCCTTTAGTTATGTCACCCACGAGGCAAATTGCTTCATATACTTCTATCTCAAGTCGATTGCAGTTTTACTTTATAAATCCGGTTAATAAAGCTCTCAATCATTTAAGTGATTATTTTATGAAGTCCCCCCTCCCCAACCCATCCGGTTTGTTACGTTAATTTAAATAAGAAAAGTTTGAACTTTTAAGTTCCATTTTTCATAGATAGCTTTTTTTCATTACAACGAGCCTATATAAACATATATATATATATATATATATATATATATATATATATATATATATATATATATATATATATTAGAGTGATTTGATTCAGAAAGTGATGACTAAGTGATGTGGAATAGCAAACAATTAATCAACTAATCGATAAATGGAACTATGACAACTCAAGATACATAGTGCATTCAACGTTAATACAGACAATTCACGAAGGATACGGGATATTTTTGTCAATATAATCAAATTCGTTTGAAGAAAGACAAAACAGTTCAAATTAGTAACATAACTTAACATGTAATCTATTGTTTCCCGGCAAATGCGCAGCATTATATTAAAAGCCATTCTCGAAAATAATCACATAGAAATTAATTGAATCCGCCAAATACACCAGCAGTATATAAAAGCAGTAACTAAGTAAAATCTTTTTTATAAGTATAATTAATTAGCTCTTCTAGTAAACATATTGTATTAATTTAGGCAACGACCTATAAACACAATCTTATACTGCTTTATCCTAACAACTGGGGGTGTGCGATGGACTTACCTCCACGTGGTGCACCCTGGGCAACGTATATTCATACGGCAAAAAAGTCTATTAACTGGGAGTTGACTTCAAACTACCATGACTCCGCTGTATGTTATATTTGATTACTTCCACCTTTTTTGATTACCTTTTTCTCTACCATTGTGCCTGTCTGTCGCTTTTATATCTGTGAATCACTCCTCTGCTTCCTCTTTCGACTTTTGTGACTTAGATGTTCCTCCTCCTCTCTGTGAAGCCCAAAGTCAACTTAAGGGCTAATGATAACCATCATAAAGCCTGTCATTTGATATAATATAACTGTGTGGAATTAAGAGCCCCAAACATTTGAACAGGGTTGTAAAAAGTGGACAGCCCTATAATGTAGAAACAGGCACCTATTGATTGAACTAAGTCTCCTCTTGTGCTTCTGCTTCTTAAAGACCAGGTATGCGCAACGACCACTACATTTTGTCTATAGCTCATTTCCAATTTGTTACAAAATATGAACGAATTTATTAATGTCAAATGCAGGGCTGGGTTTAAATGCTGTCAGTGAAAATTCGTAGGCTACAGCTCATGTCAATATGCTAAGTCCAGCCCCCGCTATGAGAAAACAATATAAAGTAAAACCCGAGGAATTTGATCCTTATAAGATTTCATAAAGGATAAATCAACAAAACTGTCGATCTAAGGTGACTAATTTGGAATACTAAAATTCAGATAACAGAGAGCCTAATGTACGTGTTGATATAAGCAGTTTACAATCATTAAACCAGTGCAAAGTCAAAAACTTTAAGAAAATTTGTTACGTGCCACAGAACGAAATGCTTTAGCACCAGGATAGCTTGTGGTACACGCTATCGCTGTGTGCGTCATCGTGTGCCTGCATGTCTGCTCACCAGGATTGAGAGGTGCGGCCGTACAACTCTGTGTGCAGCGATCGTACAAACAGTGACCAATCATCAACCTCTGTTTAACCTAATCTCCCATCCTGATCATGAGTAGCTCCATGCGTGTACACTTTATCCGCAATACTCGTACTGACTAAACGTGCTCCTTGCTACACGTCTGTTTCCTTTATAGGTGGGCTATAGCTTAGCTGGTTCTGGGAGTCTAGCTAGATGTAGGAGGATCTGCCATAGAGATTTCTGAGTCAGTCAGGATTTAATAAGGTAGCAATCCGCTACAAGCTTAATTGTTATTGTTTATAATTTATTGTTATTACTAATAGTAATACTGGTAGACTTGTGTGTCTTTATTTTATGCAGATGTTAAATAAAAAGGATAACACAGAAATTCACTTCAATAGGGTCTGCAAAATTGACACCCTAGTGTATAATAAATTATTCTGATCTAGGCTTTTCAGATCCAAAATTCAACCCAGTAACTCTAGTTCTCAATGAAGTAACTAAAAAATTAGAATCCTAGTTATAATTTTTGGAATACAGAAACTGAATTGTCTTTAGATTTTCTTTCATTCTACCATTAAAGCTCCGTAAAGTTTGAGAATATGCAAATTAAGGTTTAAGCAAAATTAGGGTATGCTACTCAATTCATTTCAGTAGGGCAATATTTTGATTAATTACATTGCGAAAGAATTCACCATCGATTTAAGCAGTATAGTTGTGTTGAAATGCAGTGCTAAATAGTTGTTAATACCTCTTGAGAGTATTACCTTTTCAACTAGAGCTTTTCTAAACTGGGAAAGATGAATTTTTACTGGCTGATTCAACTACTCTAATTATTTACAGTTACGATCATACATCTCAATGTCATTTCTAATATCCACGAAACGAATAAAAACGAACTTCAGAGTAATTTCTAGAACATTGGGAATAAAGTTGCTGACAAGACTGTTGATAAGCTCATAGATATGCAGCAAAAGACCGTTAAAATAGCTCAGGAAACCATTTCAAGGAACCTCACTGAAAAAGATACCGCAGATGTTATCAAGAAAGAATTCGACACAAGATATGGCCAAGAATGGCACTGCATCGTGGGTCGATACGTTGGCAGATAAGAACAACTATATTCTAATAACACATATCTATTCCGAATATGCTATGATCTCTTTTACGTACTTTAGCTAAGAGACACAGAACAAAATGCTTCATTTATTTTTACACTGGCCAAGTTACAGTTCTTCTTCACAAATCTGTCTGAATGCTTTCTAGATGAAAGATAAAATTTTTTCAAAAATTTAAAGGATTTGAAAAGAAGACAAGTGAAGGTATCGAATGGCTAACTTAATAACTTGGATAACTCATCAGATTATGCATTGGGTACGAATGTTTTCAGCTGGATGAAAAATAGTAAAATTCCTTACCCCCCACCTCAATGTGTTGAGTTTTAGTATATTACGTGATAAACAAATGCAAATAGCAGTATGCCTGCCTAGAATCGACTGCGCCAATTTACTACTACGTGGTTCAGGCTTATTGATCTCTACCAATGAGGCGTTTGCGTAGGTCCGATGTTACTTAGTTCATTTGACAGCTGAAATTGGCACAGAGTTTGTAAATAGTTAATAGAGCACTTGATCCAATAGATGAGTCATATGTTTTCAGGTTTTGAAAAGAGCACTCACTTGAATTGCTTGGTGCGGTGGCGTTTCTTCAGTTTTCAATAAGAGCACGTAGAAGTCTGTCATTTATGAGACATTCCAACCGAAACCAAAAATATTGTTTCTGTGTGTGAATTTTGAAACGGGGGGTGTGTGATAGACTCACCTCCACATGGCGCACCCTGGGTAACGTATACTCATAAGGCAAAAAAGTCTATTATTCGGCAGTTGACTTCCGACTTCAAAACACCATCACCTCACTGTATGTCATATTCGACTACTTCCACACTACTCACTTCACCTTTTTCACTCTACCTTTGTGTCTGTCTCTTTTACATCTTTGAATCACTCTTCTGCTCCCCCTCTCGAATTTTTCTCACTTTGATGCTCCTTCTTCCCCGTGACACCTGAAGTCAACTAAAGGGCTTATGATAACTATCAAAATGCCTGCCCTTTGATATAAA